GCCTGTGGCACTTGGCACCAAGTGGCTGTCATTTTTTTCAACAAACACTCACTGAACACTTACTCTGTGACTGTGGGAGACATAGGGAAGTCCTAGATAAGGCCTTTGATCTTGAGGAGTTTAAAGACAAGACAGAAAGAAAAGTCATTTTTTTTTCTTCCCATTTATTTATTCATCTATTGCATGCTATTGTTTTTTCCTTCTTAAAAATGCCTACTGTTGGGCTGGGCATAGTGGCTCACACCTGTAATCCCAGCACTTTGGGAGGCCAAGGCGGCTGGATCACCAGGAGTTCGAGACCAGCGTGGCCAACATGGTGAAACCCCATCTCTATTAAAAATACAAAATTAGCCAGGTGCGGTGGCACATGCCTGTAATCCCAGCTACTTGGGAGGCTGAGGCAGGAGAATCCCTTGAGCCTGGAAGATCGCGCCATTGCACTTTCTGGGTGACAGAGTCAGACTCTGTCTAAAAAAAAAATGCCTACTATTTCAGGCATTGTGCTGGGCACTGGACATTCACAAAGGAATTATGCAACCCAACTAGAGAGCAAACAGGCAAGGCAATGCAAGCCTTGAATTATGCGGTACAATTGTGAGTTCCAGAGGATTTCAAAAAAGGCAAAAAATCATCATGGTCTGGTTTTTACCTTGGTCAGAGCAATAACCTTTCCCTGCCCTCTAGAGTCTATGCTTTAAACAGCAGGCAGAGTAATCCTGGTAAAACAGGTCAGATCTTGCAGGGTCTCTCTGCTCAAATGGCTCCCTCTAATGGCTTCCCCCTCACTCTAAGTGAATCCTTACAATGTCCTTATAAGGTCCTACACCAGTGGCAGGAGGGTTGGGGAAGCCAAGCAGGGTATGGAGGCAACTCAGAAATGATCAACAGCAAGATGACTATAAGCTGTAGGTGGGGGGACAAAGGGAGGAGGCAGGTTACCATGGCCAAGGAGCCAGGGTCACCAATGGAAACTGGAGCTCTGAGACCTCCCTGACGCAGAGAGCAGGAGGAGAGATAACCCTCCTCTCTCTTCTTCCTCTCTTCTTCCACCTAATTTCCCACCAGGTCTCTCACTGGCCAATTGAAGCTGAAAGATACCGCCTGAGGGACTTTCTGAAACTGAAACAAGGCAACCCTGCAGGGGTCAGCTCCCCTGTGAGGACAGGAAGAATCGATCCAGGGCCAATAGGCCCAGTACCAAAACTTTCTCAGAGACATTCTGCTAAAGCTGATGTGTAAAATGTACCTGCTGTCTTCCCTAAATATGCAGACTGAGGCCAGCAAAGTGGATATAAAGGGAGCAGGATCTGCAGCATGAAGCATGCCTGGGTAATGGCAGGGTACAGTAGCTCACGCCTGTAATCCCAGCACTTTGGGAGACCCAGGTGGGCGGATCACCTAAGGTTGGGAGTTCCAGACCAGCCTGGCCAAGAAGGTGAAACCCCGTCTCTACTAAAAATACAAAAATTAGCTGAGTATGGTGGCCCACACCTGTAATCCCAGCTACTTGGGGGGTTAAGGCATGAGAATCGCTTGAACCCAGGAGGTGGAAAGCTGAGATTACGCCACTACACTCCAGCCTGGGCAACAGAGTGAGACTCTGTCTCCCAAAAACAAAAACTAAAACCAACAAACAAAAAATGCCTAGGTGAAGATGAAAGTTTGTTGCAGATAACCATTCCCAGTGGAATCACTTCCAGGCAAAGGCCTGAAAGGCAGGAGGGCACAGGATTCAATCTATGAGTCAGTCTGTAGTAGAGAAGGACCCTTGGAAAGAAGCCCCGAAGCAATACAGATCTGGGAGGAGTTGTTTCAAGTGTGGGAGACCAAGGACACTGGGAAAAGAACACTGAGCATTGTCCCAAGGCCTGGGCATGTGTTCTCATTAGCTGTGTGAACTTGCTCAAGGATTTCACCTCCCTGAGCTGTGGGGTCCTAATCGACCAAATGTGGATAGCAGCACTACCTGTTTCATAGGCCCATGCTAGAACTAATGGATATAGAAAATGTCAGTCCTTTGATTAAATTCCTCAGGAGTTCCCCATTGTTTTAAATTTAATGTTCAAACCCCTCTGTAAGGCACAAATAGCTCCTTGGAATGTGGCTTCTGCCTACTTCCTTCACTCCATTTATTACAACTCCTCACTCTTGCAACTCCATAGACCACCCAGTTTGAACCACTTGCAATTCCAAGAACTTTGCTCTCTCCCAGACTTTGCAAATTTTTCTGTCTGAAGCATAATGTTCCTGGTATATCCTCGCTGCCTAATTCCTGTACTTTCTTCAGAGTTCAGTTTAGGGGGTACCTCCTGCAGTTTAGGGGGCACCTCCTGCAAGTCTTCCTTGATATTCCCTACCCTTCATGTAGGCAAGGGGCTTTTTTGTGTTTTCAGAGCACACTCTACATCCTCCAATCCCAGCACATCCGGCAGTTGATGAAATCATTGATTCATCACTGTGATGAAATCACAGGTTCGGCAGGACAAGATGGAGTTAGTGTGGGTCCGGATGTGCGGGTGGCAGCAGGTCAGCAGACTCTGCGGCCTGCAAGACTATCTACAGACTTTTTTCAGGGCAAATGATGTGAGGGTTGGTACATTAGTGGGGAAGACAAATGTGGAAACAAATACTACGAAGACAACAAGAAACTTTTTGGGACATGGATGGAGCTGGAGGCTATTCTCCTTAGCAAACTAACAGGAACGGAAAACCAAATACTGCATGTTCTCACTTACAAGTGGGAGCTGAATGATAAGAATTTGTATGTACAAAGAAGGAAACAACAGACACTGTAGTCTACTTGAGTGGGAAGGATGGGAGGAGGGAGAGGAGCAGAAAAGATAACTATTGAGTACTGGGCTTAATACTTAGGTAATGAAATAATATGTACGGCAAACTCCTGTGACACATGTATCTGTGTAACAAACCTTCACATGTACCCCCAAACCTAACACAAAAGTTAAAAAAAAGAAAAAAGAAATCACAGGTTCACACTGTCACTGTTATGAGATAGTAGTTCCTGGAAGACAGAGGCTCTCCTTCCTATTTCTCTCTCTCCAAGGACTTCCAGAGCCTGTCACGTAGTAAACCTCCAGAAATGGCAGTTGAAGGAGGAGTGAGTGAATAAAGGGTGGTACAAACTTAAGGAGTTGATGAGCAACACTTTTGGTACTTTCTTCTTTCAAAATAATTCTCAAAATAAATAAATAAATAAATAAGAACAACTCTCTAGGTCCCTCCAGGGATCTTCTAGGATTACCTCTTCCTCTCCCCTCCATAACCCAATTCTCTTCTGTTGTACATGGCCATCTCCTCTGCTGGACTGCCTTCCTCAATATATATGTTAAACGGTTTAATGGTTTTTAGTCATGAAAGAATTTTTATTCCTTTAGTCTGGCTTGTTTGAACTTGTCTAGAGCATTCTGTGACCCTCTCTATCTAGAGTTGAGGGTACAATCAGTGTGGGTATAATGGGGAGACATGATCTCCTGTCTTTTTTCTGATCTGAAGGCATTAACTCTGAACCTACTTTTCACCTCCATTGCAACCTGCTCCTCCTTCTGTTCCCTATCACAGTCAATGACACTACCACCAGGGCCCCGTGTCTATGCAGGAAACCCAGAATTCACTCCAGACCTCTTCTCTCTCCACTACTTCCTCCCACCCAGGTGATCACCAGCTCTTGTCTAGTCTACCCTGGAGTATCTCTGGGATCACTTCACTTACCTCTGTCTCTACAGCTACTACTTAAGTCCAGGGCACTATCATCTCTCACCAAAATTATAGCACTGGCTATCTAATTGGTCTCTGCTTTTAAGCGACTCTCATCTCTATGCATTTTTCATTTGGCAGCCAGAAAATACAATCTGATATGACTCCTCTCCTATAAAATCCTCTGGTGAGTAGTTCTCATTTCCTTCAAGATAAAGTGCAAATTCTAATGCACTTGACATGGCCCCAGCTATTTAGTTCCCTCCTTTTCGGGCATCATCTCCTTCTGCTCTCCCGTTGAAGAACTACTTGTTTCACAACTAGTCTGCAAAGTACTTTGCTCACTTCCTCACTCGGTCAACTTCTGCATATCACCTAGGGTTTGGCTCAGGTACCATGCCCTCCCAGAAAACGTCTTTGCTGACTCTGAGCTTTGCCAGCCCGTTTCCTGCTACAGAGCCCAAGGGGCCTTGGGTCCACCCCTCTGGGCCGTGCAGTATTCTGGTTAAACTCACATGCAATGGCGTCGCGTTACCAGGCTTCAAATTTCGCCTTGATCGTTTACAAGCTGTACGACCTAAATCAAGTGAATTCTGTCTTCTCATCTGCAACATGGGGAAAATATTTCATCAGTCTGCTGTGCGAATTAAATGAGATGATGTAAGGTGCCTGACAATTAAGAGTCAGCTATTATTACAGTGCTGAAAATAAAAGCTCGATCCCCCCCCGCCCTGCCACATTATCAGGGTCAAGTTTGTGTACGATTTCGTCTTAATGCACCCTTTTGTTCCAGCATCCTCTTGTCTGCTACTCGGCGAAGACAGTTACAACAAACCTGGAGGCGACCAGGTACGCGAGCTGGTCACGACTGCCGGTCCCCAAGCTCCCCGACTCCGAACGCCCCCAGGTGGCCCAAGCACTCTGCAGCAGAAGCGAGCCAGCTAGGACGTACCATTTGAAATTGTAGGGGCAGAAAGGCCTTGCATAAACAAATAGTCTGTGTTTATAAGGTCCCTCCTCTTTCGCTTCCTAACCTCAAATTCCATTAGACCCAATAAAGTGAGAAATAGGATTGTAAATAAAACGGAGAGAGTAGGTTCCGTTTCCTCCCCGATCGTAAGAGTGGCATTGGTACTTTCTCTTCTCAGTTCCCTCTCAATAATGGTACGGCTAGCGGAGGGGGGAATAGAGGGGACAGGGAAGGCCTCAGGGCTCGGCGGCTGGTGCTAGTGCAGAAACACCCCTCCTGCCGCGGCGCTGTGGTACCACCCGCTGTCTGCTGATTGGCTGCCGAGGCCCCGCAGTCCGCCTCAGCCCGCCGCGCCACCCCCAGTACATCTCCGGCCGCCGCGCCGCCTGGCTCTCGTATTCCTTGTTCTCGGCGGGCTGTGGGGCCTCCGCGCCGCGGCCGTTAGTCATGTCGGGTAGGTGACTCCTTCAGTGAGCAGCGGCAGCGGCGAGAAGGGCCTGACGGGGTTGGGCTGTCTTCCCGCCCACCGGAGGGCCCTGAGGGGAAGCCTCCGGCCCCGAGGGAGGCTTGGGGTGGGGGGGCGGCCGCGGCCGCCGCCATGTTGGACTGGAGGCACGCACGCTCCCAACGCTCTCCGGCTGCAAATCACGGCGGGAGCGCCGCGGGCCTCTTGTCTTTTGACCCTGTCCTTGGAACTTGAGGAGACTTGCCGTTCCCGGGGGAGGGTGTGTGTGAGTCGGGGGGCGGAGGCCGTCTACGCCATCGTAGGGGCGGGGGGAGCTGAGATGAGAGCATCAGCCTGAGAGAAGCGGTGCTTCTGGTTCTCCGCTCCGCCTCGGATCTTTCAGCGAGGCCTCGGGCCAGTCATCTCGCCGCCTCGTACCTCAGTTTTCCCATCCGTGAAGTGGAGCTGGGCCTGCCTGACTCACCCATTCATCAGGTGGGGGCCTTGACGCTCTGGGAGCCCTTTCAAAGGACGTTGCCTTACACGAAATCGTACTTATCGTTATTCACTCTGCAGTAACCACCCGGATTTGAGCTGGGGTGTTTGCATAGTAATTCAGCTTCCTCTTTACCCTTCTGCCATTCGTCTTCCCCTCCAGTTTATCTCCTGAAAGAGCTTGAAAGTGAGCCTTGTCCATTATTGATAAGCTTCTGTAGGTGTCTGTGGCATTTCCCTTAAAACAGGCAGACCAAAGGCAAGACATCTCCCCCCTCACCCACCACGAAGCAGTTAACTTGGCAGAGGCCACCCGTTGTGTGGAAGAGAAAGAGAGGCAATGGTCTCTTCAGGACAGCCAGTTTGAATCCTGCTAAACCAGAATAAAAAGTCTAGCACATGGATGTCCTCTTGATTTAGCAGACCTGGCTGATCACACAAGGTCCTCTGTTGTCAGGCTGCATCACGGGCCACAGAGACCCAGGTGTCTATCTGCTTGCTACATCATGAGAGTTAGATACCACTTTTCTGCTGGAAGTACAGAACATTGCCTGAGAAGCCGTGTGGTTGAGGTGAAACATATGCCTTTTGCAGTCTTACATTTTTAGTAAGGGCAAACCTACCTAGTGTTATAAAACCAAACAAAAAAACCCAGGTACCCAGTCTTGCAGGTTAGAAATATGTGACTAAAAGGAAGCATTGATCTGAGGAGACTACAGATTAGCGGGAATGATTGGACAGGAGCATGGTATACATTGCTTAGATTAATGTTGATATTTAAGGAGCCAGGATATCGGTTTGTTTTTGATGAGTGCCCATCTACTTCATGTAAGTTGCTGTAAACTGCACTTCCCTCAGTTTCTGGTTAATTCTTGTTCAAACAAGGAATAATTTCTTATTCCAAAGTAGACATTGGTACATTATAGGACACCTTCACAAGGGTGTATCATCTACCCTGGTTTAAACAGAAATTAAAACGCAAGTTTTAATGGATTCAGTGCTCATTAAAAACTTTTAGCCTGTCTTGATCTTTAACATAATTATTAGTTTAAAACAGTGGCTTCTGTGGAAAATTGAAAGTTTTAGTGGTTTGCTATTTGTAAAATACAGGCTTTTTTGTGTATCATATTAGCATATAAGTTGACATAATGATTAGTACTGATCTTCAAGTTACTAAGACATCAGGTATTTGTTATTTTGTAATCTGAGTTTTAAAAAAATACCGAAATTGGCTTTTCGATGTGTAAAAAGGACTACTTATTAGATGCTTGTTTTTAAATTAACAATTAAAGCTAGACTATTTAAATTCTTAGGCTTGGTATACTATTTATATGTTTTGTAATAAGTGTATAAAAGTAATACCTTTGACTTTGTATAAAAATAATGCTTTTGACTTGTGCTTTGATGAATGTTTATTAAAATCCCGTAAACGACTAATGCCATTAATAATTTTAGTTAAGTCCTTTAAGCATTCCAGACTACACTTGTAAATTTAATATATCAAATTGACTCAACCACTCCAAAAAACCTAATAAAACAGAAGCACTTAAGTAATCAATAAATCAAAATTGTAGAAATTATAAGTCAGACATTCAAATACTGTTTACAAGTGTGACTTACCTAACACCTTACAAATTCATATTACAAATATAATAACAGTTATACACATAAAAATTACGAAGTCAGGATAACTGCTCATTCTGGCAGTATGGCAGACCACGATTAATTTGAAAATCTATCTACAAACATTAAAAAAAAAATGCAAAAACTAAGGGCAAACCGCCACTACCAAAAATGAAGTAGAAGCCGGCATGGTAGGCAAAGAGCTAACTTGCCAGGTACCCTGGAGGGGAAGGTGTACACTTCTTAGAGACCTGGGTTTTATTGCTCAAGTAACTACGTAAGGATTGGAGATGAAACATACGGACCATTAATGCCAGGTAAAGAGAACTGAGACTCTTAACATAAATTCTAGACTTACATGTTACAGAGTTCAGGGACTATATGTTCTGTGAAGGAATGAACTGGAAAAAACCTTAGTACCAACATAAGAGATGACAAGGTAGCATGGACATTTAGGCTCCAGGTAACCTTAAGACAAATTAATGTAAAAATGGTTTCTGGGCTGGTAATACCCTTGGTGTACCTGTTAAAAATGTTAAGAATCTTTTCTGGAGGAAATTTCACAGTTTAGATACAAGGAATCTCAGATAAAGCAAGCCTTGCAAAAGATGTGTTCACAGTAAAAAAATCACAGAGCTTTAGGAAACATTTCACCTAAATGAGAGTCACTGACAAACTGAATTAAAGCCTCTAACAGATTATTTGAGAAAATATTTTTCTGTTTAAAATTGTTAAAAAAAAAAAAACCAAAGGAATCAACCCTAAGATCAAGGTGTTGACTGGGCGTGGTGGCTCACACCTGTAATCTCAGCACTTTGGGAGGCCAAGGCTGAGGGATCACCTGAGGTCAGGAATTAGAGACCATCCTGGCCAACATGGCAAAACCCTGTCTCTACTGTAAATTAGGGAAGCAAGGTGATGGGCACCTGTAATCCCAGCTACTTGGAAGGCTGAGGCACAAGAATCCCTTGACCCTGGGAGGCAGAGGTTGCAGTGAGCTGAGATCATGCCACTGCACTCTAGCCTTGGCAACAGAGCAAGACTGTCTCAAAAAAAAAAAAAAAAAAAAAAAAAAGAAAAAAACCAAAAAAACAAAAAAAAAAAAAAAAAAAAAAAAAAAAAAAAAAAAAAAAAAAAAAAAATCAAGATGTTAATAAAACAAGCCACATAGATTTGAAAAATAATCAAAATGTTTAGAATTAGAAAAAGTGAATATGTTGGATAGTAGACTTAGCAGAAGAAAGAATTACAGATATGATGGATGTGATTTATCTTTCAGATGTGGAAGATAGATGTGACCTTCCAGAATTCAATTCGGGGGTTAAGATATGAAAATGAAAGATTGGGCATGGTGGCTCACGCCTATAATCCCAGTACTTAGAGAGGCTGAGGTGGATGGATCACTTGAGCCCAGGAGTTTGAGAACATCCTGGACAACATGATAAAATCCCATTTCTACAAAAAATACC